GGGGGTCCTGGCAGACCCCCCAGGTCTCCTGTGACCCGCATGGTCCCGGAGCGGGTACCGGCAGGTACCGGCACCGCGTGCTGCCAGGGGCTGTCCCAGCTCCGAGGCTGCCTCCCCATCCAAGGGCTTCTTCTCCCTGCGCTGGAGCAACACGGTGTGGCAAGAGTCTCTGTGCTCTAGGACTCCTTGGGCCTTAGGCATGCTCAAAGCAGCCCCCAAGCAACTGCAGCCTTGGCTGTGGCACGTGTGTGTGAGGGAGCGGAGTGCGCCCCAGCTGCACCCCTGGTTTAGGCAGGGAGGCTTCCCCTGCCCTTCTGCAAGAAAAAGCCAAGAAAAGCCCGGCTTTCCCCTTTTATTCATCTATTCATTTTTCTAGTTGAACAAGTGAAGAAAAAAGAAACAAAGCATGTCGGAGGGCCGGTGATGGCGGCCTCCGCGCGCTGCGGGCGCGGGTGGACAGCAAAGGGCTGGGGCAGGAGACGACGGAGTCTTCCTGCCGCCTGCCCCGCGCTCGCGGCTCTGCCCGCGGCTGCCCTGCTCGAGACGCGCTCCCTGCGGCGCGTCCCAACAGGAGGCAGCTCCGGGAGTCCTCATGCACCCATCCTGCCTTTTAGCAGGAGGGGGCTCCTGCCTTTTAGCCCGTGGCTCCTTGTTTTAGCCTTGTGCCCGTGTAGGGCTTGTCGGGGAGGCCGCTGCCTGGGGCAGGCACAGAGACCTGAGCACCGCCTCTGTGCAGTGCCGCTCGTCTGAAAAACAGCCTCTTCCAAAGAGTGTTTTGCTCTTTCCCTTGGAAAAAAATAGAGAGAGAAGCGCTTTGCTTTTCCATCTGCCCGCGCGCAAAGGCCGTGCCCGTCCCACTGCGTCGCCCTGACCCTTGGCTCCCTGCCGCGCGCCCGCTCGTTGCAGCCGCGACTTTCCATCGTCAGCGCTCAGACCAAAGCCCCGTTTTCCTGTTCCAGAGGAGCGTTTCCCCTGCGGCCCCGCGGGGGATCCGTGTCCTCCTGCCATGGAGGCAGCCCCTGGAAAGGCGCCAACAGGCGCCGGGGCCGCACATCCGCGCGCGGCCCTCGGCATCGCACGGGCGCTGCCTGCAGATGGAATGGGTCATCGCATCACGCTTGTGAAAGAACAGACTTGGGCCATCTTAAATTGCAGACAGGGAGAAATCAGGGAGAAATCAGACTCCAAAACCATTATTAGAAACTCCTTTAATAAACTGTTAATACCATGTCCCTAAACGTGCCCTCAAAACGTTGGGGAGGGGGCTTGGGTAGGCTATGCCCCATGAACAACTGCCTCTCTCAGCCCAACTAACCTGCACTGGAAATTACTGGGACTTTACTGTCTCCTCCTGGTCAGGCCGCGTGAACCAGGTTCACATTGAGATTCCTCTGCTGTACAAAGCTCACCTGCTTAAGCTGAAGTCACCTCCTGTAGAAACGCAGCACCCCACCATGCTACGGCCCACCTGGATGCTCTGTTGTGATTTTTAGGAGCTGAGTCTCTTCCAGACCCTGAACTGCAGCTCTGGCCTCCAGGTCACAGAGCTGGAGTCAGGTAGGAAGGAGTTTCTCGTCAAGTAACCCCAGGCCAAAGCGGCCGCGTGGCGTCGAGAAGGACAAGTCTTCTGCTCACAGGTGGCACGTGGTGGCTCACAGCCGCTCCAGGTTCGTAGTGACGGAGCTGGCAAGACTGGAGGGTAGCACCGAGAAGTGCTGACCCCAGCACAGCTTCAGCACCAGTGTCCAACCCCGGGACAGCCTCCGTCTGCACCGTGTCCTGCTCAGCTCCACGCTGTGTCTGAAGCCAGTGAGCCAGGAGGAATCCTGAGCTCGGAGAGACACCAAGCACCAACCCAAGTTTCTGGTTGGTTTCTGCCCTTGCTCACGGGCACGTTGCGCTGATGGGTCCTCGAGGCTCCTCTCAGGAATACGGGCGCTCAGGCCCCTTTTACCTACCAGCAAGAGCTTCCCTAAATGTGCTGGACTTTAAGGCTATCTGCTTACGGAGGAAGAAGCACCAAAAGCGAATAGCCATTTCTGAACCATTCCCTTATGCTCTCTAAGCTGAAAATTGCTTAACAAAACTAATTTGTATGTACTTAATGAGCAACAAATGCATTTCCAGAGATCTGGATCAGTTCCCGCTCAGGAAAGCAGGCTCAGCTTCTCCAACGCTTGCAATTAATAACTCAACCAGCTTTACTGGCAAGTCAGTCACGACCGAGGCGACTTAGGAAGCTTTCAGCTGCTGCAGTAAACACCCCTCATCAGGAAGAAACGCTCTGTGCAGACCGAGGGCTGAGCTTTGGTTTCTTCCGAGCTCTGCCCTTGCCTTTGCTCCCGCCGAGGCGTTTGGGGCTTCTTCCCTCCCTGCCAAATGGGGGAGAGGTTGTGGCTGTGCCTGTCCTTTCTGTCCCTTCTGTGTCTGGGGCACGGCCCCGCGAGGGGGGACGTTGCCAATGTCCCTGCGCGCTCCCACAGCCGCTGCGTTTCCTTCTATTGTGAGCACGCGGGGCGGCCGCCGCGCAGCCCTCCCCGCAGCGCCGCCGTCCCCGCGCCTCCTTCTCCTCATGGGCAGCAGGAAGAGGGAGGCTGTGACGAGCCCCTGTTGTTCCCAGCACACTGGGGTATTGTTTTCGATGAGCCAAGCAGATGTTCCTGGCTTCCACGCATTTTTTGTCCGCGCTCCTGTGTCACGCGCGCTGCTCCCTTGCAGACCGCAGGGCAGGCAGGAACTTTGTCCCTGTGACCCTCTAGCCCGGATCCTTGGTCTTGGTGGGACTGTGCCCTGGTCCCACTGGAGAAAAGGGTGTTCCTGCCTGAGCCAAACGGAGCGGCCTCTCTCCCATGGGATGCAAAATCCTGGCTGGCTGAAATTCCAGGACAGGGCGTAGGCACAGTGCACGTACGTAGGGTACAGCATGAGGTCCCTCAATGGGACAGAGCCCTTGGAAAGCAGCAGAAATCCTAACTGGAAGAAGTGATCTCCTCCAAAAGCCCCCTCATGCTTGTGCAGCAAATCCCTTGGCAGGGACAAGGGGCGCTGCAAAACCCGGGATGCTCCGAAGGAGGGAACAATTGTCACTCGGGCAACGCAGGCCGCTCGCTGAAGACCAGGGGAAAACACATTCATCCTTTGGGCACGGAAACGCGAGCGGCCTCTTTTCCCTTGGCTGCGCGCGCGGGGGCCCGGGCAGGCTGGCACAACACGAACCCCGAGCGCAAGCCGCGCTCCGGCCGCCCGTGCAAAGTCAGCCCTCAAAAGAAAACCCCAGACCAACAGAAAGCCCTGGGACTCCGGGAATGAGCAGTTGTGGAAACGGCAGAAACGATGGAGCGGGTGACGCTTCGGGATGGCTCTTGCCGCCGTCTCCTCTCCATTTTCCTCTGTCCCTCCTGACCCGCGGCTACTTCAGCATCTTCTGGGGTTCTCTGAAGCTGCTCTCGCCCTTCCCTGGCCCAGCTGCAGGGTCTGTGCACTGGTTAATAAAAAAATACTGAGGTGCGAGTCCAGCTCTAGCTATTTCCAGGAACATTTGGTCCTGTAAAACCATAGGAAACCGCAATTTCAGCAAATTAAATCAGTTACCACATATCTCTCTGGCTGCACGCATGGAAAGGGAAAAGCTCCGAGCACAGGGAATAACACCAGTAAAATTCCACCCAAGCCCACGGTGGGAACAGGAGGGGACAGGCAGTCTCGGAGAGGCCCGTCTCCCTAAAGCAGACACAAAGGAAAGCCCTCTGCTATAGGGAAAACACACAGCGATCGCTGGGCTCATCAGCCACATTTTTTGTGTAATCTAATTACACATAACAGATCCTCTGACCTTCTGGGTTGGCACCGAGTCCCCGCGTGTTGTTCTTTCCATACGAAGCTCTGTTGACAGATGGGGAAAGCCCAGAGTTTGCTTTCAGCTTCTGATAAGTAAAACTAAACACGCAGCAGATAAAGCTGTTTTCCCAGCCCTCCGCTGCCGGTGACTCGTGGCTCGTGCTGAGGCCTTGGCTCCCCTGGACCCATCCCCGCGCTGCTCCAGGCACCGCGTGCCGAGCCGAGCCCCGGGAAGCGGGCAAGCGGCTCTGACAAGCGGGCAGCGCGCGCGGCCCCTCGCCCCTGGCACCCCAGCGAGCGCAGCCTGCGCCCCGACGCCCACGGGCCCGCGGCCGCGGGCTCGGAGCAGGAGGAATGAGCGCCAGGCTGGAGCTCGCGCTGCCCGCGCCCGGGCCTGGCCGCGCCCGGGCCTGGCCGCGCTGCTCCGTGCCGAGCGGGGCCGCTCCGGGGAGGCTCCCTGCCCTGCGCTGGGCCGTGGTGGGTCTGGAGGCCAAGCCGCCTCCAAGGCTTTTTCTTCCCCCCTTTTTAATGGGATCAGTCAGAACTCGATGTTACTATTTTAAAAACAAAAGGAGGGGAACCCCCCCCGCCTCGGCCGCTGCGCGCTGCCAAAAGGAGAACAAAGAACAGCTAAAGAGCACAAGTCCTGGCACTCGCCTTGGAAATAAAAACATCCATCCTCATGTCAGGTGGGGAGCTGCCTCCCACCTCCCCGCTGCCAAAGCCGGCAGGCCGGGCGAGCCCGCGCGGGCGCCGCCATGCCGGGATGGCTCCGGCGCCTCATGGCGGGAAGCGCCGGCCCCGGCGGTCGTGCGGAGGAGCAGGCTAGCGCCTGGTGCGAGTGGGCTAGCGCCCCGAGGGCCTGGCAGCGGGCGAGGTGACGCGTGGCCAGGCCCCGTCCCTCGCAGCAGCCGCCCCGGTGTCCGGCGACCGCGGCCGCCCTGCAGAGCTGCCCGCGACCGCTGCGCTCGCAGGGAAGCGCCAGGGCCTGCAGCTTGGCACGGCGCACTGGGAAAAGAGCGGAGTCTCTGCTTGCCGCCCGCCCCGCGCTGGCTCTGGCGCCTCTGCCCCTGTCCAAAACACCCCGTGTTCCCTCGAGTGACTCTGTGGAGAGAAAGAGCTTAATGCATCGCATTCACCCTCGGGATTTTTTTTTTCCTTAGAGCAAATCATGGCGGAAGATCAAGAATATGGTGCACTGGTCCCCATTTGTGATGTCCTTCAAGAAGAAGTACCCCTGGATCCAGCTGGCAGGACATGCAGGTACGGGGCAGTGAGAGGTGGAGAGTGGAGGGGACACCCCAGCCCGATTGCAGCTTGCCCGTGGGCACGAGAGCCACCATGGGGCAGAGCCGTGGAGAGCCCCTCTGTTACCTTAGGCTGTGGTGGTTACAGCCTGTGTCCTTGTTTGGGGCATGCCACCGCTGGCCAAAAACCCCTGCAGATCCTGCAGCGGATCCAGCAGCACAACCTGTGACACCAGGCAAGGCCCCATCAGCGGGGACTGCTTTGTATGCAGGTGTGACCTGCCGTGGTGGTGGCCTGTCCCTCTTCACTGGGGAAGGCACCGTGTCACTGCACACCTCGAGCAAGGGCCCTGCTGCCCCTTGTCACCTCCAGGTAGCTTCAAGGCCGCGGCCAACGGCAGGATCCTGAAGAAGCACTGCGAGTCGGAGCAGCGCTGCCTGGACCGCCTCATGAACGACGTCCTGAAGCCCTACGTCCCTGCCTACCACGGGGACGTCGTGAAGGACGGCGAGCGGTACAACCAGATGGAGGATTTGCTGGCTGAGTTTGACTCCCCCTGCGTTATGGACTGCAAAATGGGGGTCAGGTTAGTGGTTTGGGGCAGTGCTTTACCTCAAAATTTGATACCCAAAGCAGGCGTATTTCCCAGGTAAGACTCTCTGAAGCCAATAGCATCTGAGCAAACATCAGCCCCATCCTCTTAGCCAGCTGCTGCCTGCCAGGGGGATGCAGGTCTGTTCTTTCCCCTCCCGACCTGGCCTTGGCATGGGGCCCTCCCAAAGGAAGCTCTGGCAGGCAGGCCCTGGTGATGGTTAAGCCTGGAGGGAACTGAGCTGCAGGCACAGGCTGCCTGTCCTCCTCAGGAGGAAACGGAGCCTTCCAAGCAGCACCCCGTTTTATTCTGCCTGCCCCAAAATCGTGGGTTCGTTGAGCTCAGCTCCAGCCCTCCATCACTTCTGCCTGTGTTGTTTCTAAGAGAGGACGGTGCCCTGGGGCTCTCTGCTCTGCCATCACATGCCTTCGAGCAAAGACACCCGCTTGTCTTGCAGAGGAGATAGATGAACCCCAACCCCTGCATGTTGTGTGAGCTGTGGGGGTAACCACACATTCAGATTCGAGACAGGGTCCCCCAGGAACAGGGGACAGCCCCTGCAGAGCTGGGCATGACTAGCAGGAAGCAAAGAGCCGTTCAGATTTGGGGGGAAGGAGGTGGCAGATGGGTGTCTTGTCCTTCGTTGTGCTGGGACACTGCTCCTGCCTTGCCAGGTTGTTTGGAGAGAAGCTGGGCGCCCATAGGACTGACCTGGGGCAGGTTTGGGAGCTGCAGGAGCTGTTACTGAGCGCGTGAGGCAGCATTTAGTGTGTGACCATTTTCTACACTCCGGAGTGAAGCCCTGCGCTGTGTCCAGGCACAGAGGTGACGGGAGCCCCTGCAACTGTAACAGCACCTTGTCCTTTGCAGGACCTACTTGGAGGAGGAGCTGATAAAGGCCAGGAAGAAGCCGAGCCTGCGGAAGGACATGTACCAGAAGATGATCGAGGTGGACCCCGAGGCCCCGACCGAGGAGGAGAATGTGCTGCGGGCGGTGACCAAGCCCCGCTACATGCAGTGGCGGGAGACCATTAGCTCCACGGCCACGCTGGGCTTCCGGATCGAGGGGATAAAGGTGAGGCTGCTCAGCGCCCATGGCGGCACCGCTTCCCCACCAAACCCTGGGACACTTTTCTGATGGCTTGGAGAAAGGGCAAGGCTGGGCCGAGCTGGCTCTCTGCCTGTGCCCTGTCCTGGGGAAAGAGGCCTGGCCCAAGGGCTGGCTTGGTGCAGAAAGGGCCCCATGTCCTGGGGCTCAAGCCTCACTCACGGCGCTCTCCTCCTCCTTCAGAAAGAGGACGGCACCGTGAACCGGGACTTCAAGAAGACGCGGACAAAGGAGCAAGTGACCGAGGCCTTCCGAGAGTTCACCAAGGGAAACCGCAACGTGCTGGTGAGCTGGGCTGGTGCCTCGCCCCCGACGGCTCCCGGCCCCGCGGGGCCCTCCTCACTTCTGCAATAGCCTAAGAAATGGCAAATAGAAAGCCCCAGGAGCTGTCAGGATGCTGTGGTGGACAGAGGAGCGGGTTCCCAAAGAGGCAGGACGTGCTGCTGGAGTGAGGCCGGGAGGCCACCCATGGCACGGGGCCTCCCGGAGCACTCATCCCCAGCATCTCTCCACACAAACACATCATCAAAGACAGGATATGGGGATAGAGGATTTTCTTGTTTACTCTGTGCAGAGCTTTTCTTGCATAGGCTTCTCTCGGCACTGACAGCTTGTTTTTCTTTGCAATTCCAGAACAGTTACCTTAACCGGTTGAAGGGTATCCGGGCTACCCTGGAGACATCCCCATTCTTTAAGTGCCATGAGGTAATACTCACATTTCCTTCCTGCCATGGTGTTTAGACAGATCTGTCTGTAAACATGAATGGTTTAATCTCAGTTTATCCATGGAGAGAGGAGGGGTTGAAGACAGCGGACGTAAATTTCTACAACTTCAATTTATTCTTATATCTGTATTTTCATAATCCTGTTTATCTAGTATGGCTGATGAATGGTGTAATGTTTGTGCATCTGACACGGGCTCAAATCTAATGAAAACCAACGTTTATATGGACTGAAAGTGATGTAGGAATTACACGAGCTGTTTAGGGTTGTAAATGATTGGGGAAAATGCTCATTGCATAAGGGGCTCCTTGAGAGAAATTCCTGTCTGAATGCGAATGTCCGGTATCATTTGGCTGCTGGTTGCTCAGCACACTCAAACAAGGATTCAGGTTAGCTATAAGCTGCTCATCATCCCCAAAGTGCCTGCCTAGAGCTTGCTGGACAACACGGGCAAGACTCTTCCTTTGGAACAACTTTTCCTTAGAAACTAAAGTTGAAGAAAACAAGATTTTCTACAGTGAAATTTCAGTTCGAATGGGAAAATGAAGAGGAAATGCACCTTTCTGGCCATTTCAAGATGAATCGCGGCATTCAATTATTTAATGAAATAATTTTGTTGATTTAGTATTGATGAAGTGTCTATGAGACCGTTTTGAATTTAATATCGCATCTACTTAATCAAATATGAGACTGCATTTCCTTGGCATGCATTGTCCTGTGGGAAGAAGAGCATCATAGGAATGTTTGGCCCAAAGGGAGCAGAAGAGGCAGCCTTGCCTCCTCAGAGGCATCACTCTCCCTCTGACGGTGCTGTGGGAGCCACCTTGAGAGCTGTGGGACCATAAACCAACTGGAAGATGCAGGTAAATGTTGACACCAAGTGCTTCAGGTCACAGTGGAAACAAAACGTGCCATGAAATGACGTGGCAGCGTTTCATTTGAAAACACAGAAACACAACACCTTTTCAGATCCCTTTTGAAAGGGATTTCCATTTCTTTTAAAATAAATAAATAAATGAAAAGAAGAAATTTCAACTTTTTATTCCACTTTGAGATGAAACCTAGAATTTATGCAGAAGCACCTGCACTCATCTGGGACTCCTCCAAGGCACTGTGAGAGATTTCACCTGTCAAAGACAGAAGAGTGAAGAACAACAGCAGAAGTCTCTTAAAGTTGAAATGTCCTCTTCTGGCCAAGAGGGAAATACAAGAGCTTAGAAGAGAACTAAAAATAAGTGTTTCTGGGGACTCCTATGAATCTCTGGACCTTGCGTATTCTCCCAGTGCGTGATGGGGGAAAACCCTCAAAAATGTGGATTTTTACCCAGTTGTTGTGAAGTGAGAGACGACGATGCGCCTCACCTTGCACCAGCAGTAACAGCACGAGGCACCAAGGTAAGAAGCAAAGAAGAGAGGAACCAGCTCCCAGGGTTTTCTGAGCTCTCCTTGGCCAGTTTGGTGAGGACGCTCCACAAGGAGAGCCAGGCAGGACACGGTGATACTGTGAGAGGAAGGAAAGCTCAAGCCTGCTTTGCCTTTCAGACCCAACCCAAGCACTCCTTGGCTTCTCAGGTGCTTTCACGAGCCAGAATCTGCCACAGCGTTTTCCCAGAGGCCAAGCAGAGCAAAAGAGCTCTTCAAAGAAGAAGCGGCAGATAACTCGTGGAAAAGAAAACTCCAGGGTCTGTCTCTGTAGCACGTGTTCTCAGAGCTCATGAAAGCCAGGTGGCATCGGAGTGCAAATGAAAGGTGTTTCAAGACCAAGCTTTGCATGTAACTTGCTTAGAGCATAGCTGCTTCCTGAGGTGATGCCTGCAAGATTGCTGAGCGTATATTGCACCAATCATTCATAAGGAATCGAGCTGTGGAAAAACCTTAATCTGAAGGCAGAGACAGTTCATTTCTTTCATTCCCTAAGGAGCTCAAAACTCGGTCTCTGAAACTACATCTCTCTCTTTCATGCTCACATTTTTACCAGTCTTTTCTTATGCCAAAAGCTGGGATTTGTATGAGTAAATGAGATGGTTTAAAAGCCTGATTTACATGTGCAAACACAGCTGGCAAGCACAAATCTTAGTTTTGCTCATGCAAAATCTTGGCGGAACCTATTGCAAATGCAGCTGTAGATAAGGCATTTGAGAAACCTGAGGCTGGCTGAGCAGGGCATGGGTGCACTGGATGGAAAAGAGAAACAGGACTAACGGCTCTCCTCTCCCTGCAGGTAATTGGGAGCTCCCTCCTCTTCATCCATGACAAAAAGGAGCAGGCCAAAGTCTGGATGATCGATTTTGGGAAAACCACGCCACTTCCCGAGGGACAAGTTCTCCAGCACAATGTGCCCTGGGTAGAGGGGAACAGAGAGGATGGCTACCTCTGGGGGCTCGACAACCTCATCCAGATCCTCGCGGAGCTGTCCCAGAGCGAAGACTTGCATTAAAGCCGGGCATCCGACTCTGCCACTACCCCGAACCCTGACCCTCAACTGACTCTTCTGAACTGCACTACAAGACACTTTCCAGCCCTTGCCCTCCCCATTTTAAAGCTATACTCTCCCTATTTAAGGTGTTTTTGTTGTATTTTTTTTAGGGTTATTCCTTTTTTTCCCTTTTTTTCCCTTTATTTTTGTAAATACATAGCTAACCCGCCAGAACAAGAGCTGAACTTGAACCCTGGGCGCCACAGAGCCGCTGCGAGCGGCGCCGGCGGGCCTGGTTGTGTGAGCGCCGGTTTCTATCACAGTTTTGTCTCTCGTGCAGCCACGTTTCGGAGGGCCACGCTGCTTCATCTGGTGGCCCAGGCAGGGCCGGCGGGGCGGGAGCCCTTCGGTTGTCTCCTCCAGCGCCCTTCTCCCTCAGAAAGCAGCCGGACCAAGTCCCTAGGAGCCCCTGCACAGGCGGGTGCTGGGCTTGCTGCCCCTGCCCAAGGCGACCCACGAGTGCTGTGGGGGTGGCTGGTGACACACAGGGCCCCCGGCCGGCGCGGGGACCCCAGCCCCCGGGCAGAGCTGGGGGGAGCAGGGTGGGTTTTGAGGGGCCGGCAGATCCAAGGCAGCCGCGCGGGCCGGAGGAGGCGCGGGCGGCCGCAGAGGCCGGGCACATGGAAGCAGCCAGCGCCCCGCGCGGGCCCGGGCCATTTTTAACCGCCCGGAGCATTTCCAGGGGCCTCGTGAGGCGCCGGCCCTCGCAAGGGCGAGTGCGGACGTGCGTCCATGGGGCGCCGCGGAGGCGCCTCGCTCTGGGGCTCGCTCCCCATGACCCTGGCGGGGCTGCCCCCTCGCTCCCCAGTGCAGCCACCGCAGCCATGTCCCCAGGAGGGCCTCGGCTGCCATCGGGGGCCGCGGATCCCTCCACGAGGGAGGACTTCTGCTGGCACCGATGCAGGAGAAGGCTCCGGCCACCGGCTGTTCTGCGGCTGTGCCCCGGCCTCTTTGCCCAGGATTAAAACCTCCTGCGCTGTGGTTTTGCTTTGAGTCCCTACCTGAGCGGCCAGCGTCTCTCGCTCCTGCGACGCCGCTGCCGGCGGCTGCACCGTTTCAGCCCCCTGCCAGGCTCCCTAGAGCCGCCCAGGGGGAAGTGCCTTATAGACGTTCCTCTGTCACATTAGTGTCATGGAAAAGCTTGGATTTTTTTAAGTTATATTTATTTTCCTCCCAATTTAATTGCACAGAACACTAAAACTTAATGCATGGAATCCCTCTTTTTTTTTTTTTTTTCTTTTTTTTTTTTAAGTGTTTTTAGTTTTTAAACCATCCCTTCTCCAGCTTTGGAGACAGGGCTTGAACAGATACGCGTAGATACGAACCAGTTATCGCTGTACGTTAGCTTTGAGTTGCTCTTGTATATTATTTTTTAAGCCTGTTTATAAACCAGCTCCCTTGCTTTGTGGCTTCGCAAGAAGCGGGTTGTTTCTCCCAGATGTCTCATGCCTTCCCGGAGGCCGGCGCGCTTGCCGTGAGGTATTTCCCCTGCTCCCAGCTCCCCTTCTGGCCATTGGGTAACATGGAGAAAAACACGAGCTGTTCGAAACACCAACGCACAGTGCCTGTAAAACTCCTGTAACTTTCCAAATAAAGGCATATGGGAACTGTTCTGGGCTGCAAACCCTCCGTACCCGCGGGGCAGGAGCTGCTGGGGGCGGCTGCGGGGCCTGCGTCCGCTCTGCCCTACAACAACGCCAGGGAAAACCGAGAGCAGAACAGGACCCACATGCAGCCCTGGGAGGGATCCTGGGCAAAAGGAGACTGGATTTGTGCGAAGCCGGGACCGTCCGGGTGGCTGGAGGGGCAGTCCCGATGGGAGTGAGCGGCACGGCTCCGCTTCTCCATCTCTGTCTCTCAATGTCCATCCTGGCATTAAAAAGCAGACGAGACATCAAAGCAGGTTTTCTAGGAGAAGTTGCTGTTTCTCCTCGCTGAGTGGTGAACAGGATCGAGGGCCAGGAGGAAAAATTCCTGATGAGTTTTCCCCCGAGGGGGATGTCAGGCTGTAGAGCCCAGAGACACCTTCAGTCCCCCTTGGTGGTGGGTACAAGCGCAGGGGAGCGCGAGCCTGTCCGGGGGCTGCCCTAAAGAAACCTAAAGAGCTCAGAGCCCAGGAGCAGCCCAGCACCCACATGGGAGAGCTTCACATGGCACTGCCCAGGTGTTCAGACTGGCTCCTAAAGCACCTCTGCATGGGGCAAAGCCACCCTGCCCATGTGGTGCCAGGACAGCTCATTACTTCCTTAATTAGCTAATTAGCCGATTCCTTTAAAAATGCATCTCTGAGCCCTAAGCTTTTGGAGAAAGGTGCTGAGGTGGTAGCTAGGTGGTTGTTTGGTAACTGTAGGGCTTTGCTGCTGGGCCTGGGGGACCCTTGGCCTTCTCTCCTGGGCTGTGTACGTACCTGGCCCTGTGTGTGAGGGGGATTTTGGTGGCAGTGTGAGGTGGGGGACAGCAGGGTGCTGTGGCTGGGATCCCTGCTGGGGCTGCTTGCAGCTGAATCACACAGGGTCACAGAATAGTTGAGGCTGGAAGGGACCTCTAGGGATCATCTAGTCCAACCCCCTGCTCCAGCAGGGACACCCAGAGCATGGGTGCAGATAGCGCTAGGAGAGGAGGCTCTGGGGCTGAGCTCCCTCCCTTGCAGGTGTGTTTGGTTCCTGCCTGGTTGGAAAGGGCATGTGCAGGAGTCCAGGTGCTCTTGTGTAGGACCTGTCCGTTGCCCTAGAGAGAACTAGTGCAAATGTTGGTGTCTTGCCTCCAGGAGGGGCTGTGCTTCAGGTGTATTTTTTTCTGTGACAGCTTAAGACTCCCCTCCTTGGTCTCTTTACTGCAGCCCTGCTTGCTGTGTGGGGTTTACACTGCTCCTTGCTAATGCAGCAAGGGGTGAGGAGGTGGTTTTGCCCTCTCTGGAGCACGGCTGGGCTCCCAGCCCTTTGTTTGCTGGGATCAGAGCACTTCCGTGCGGGGAAGTTGATGCTGCAGCCCAGAAGGTGGCAATGCTCGCCTGGCTCTGCATCGCCTGCAACGGGAACGTCCTGGTGCAGTGAGTGCGACTGAGACTGGCTGCCTCCCTCCGGAGCTGGGAGCACCTGTGTCCCAGGAGAGGTCCCTGGCGCCAGGAAGGTGCCAGCTGCTGACCCTGAGGCACAAGGGGCCCTCACTGGCATGGGAAATGCCCTTGTGCAAGGGAGGAGGTATTTGGGGTTTAACCTTCTGCCAGGTGCCTCATGTCTCTCACTGGCAGGCTTTTTCCTTGGATGTCTCCCCTTAGGAATCTGTTGTGATGCCACGGGGCAATGCCGGGCAGCTCCGGAGCTCTGTGGTCCTTTCCCGCTGCCCAAGGCTGCCGGCAGCCTCGGCACACAGGGAAGCTGCGCTCGCCCGGAGCAGCCAGGGAGCGGAGCAGAGCTGTGTGTTGGGGCGAGCGGAGAGGGCACCGGGCTGTCCCCAGCGTGCTGGTGCCTCGCAGGTGGCTGCCCGGTGCAGGCTGAGCGGTGACACACAGTGCACCGGGGCTTGGGGCTGCTGTGGTGGCTCCTGGCTGCACAGCCCCCTGGAGCAGCTCCCTGCTCCAACCTGCTCTGCTCCACATGCACCTTCCCCAGCGCCCGACTTGTGCTGCCCGTGATGTCCGGGCAGAGCAGCCAGGGGGGAAACGCAGGCACCAAGTGACTTATTCTGGATGGTGAGTGGGGGCAGAGCTGGGAAACTGAGGGCAAGTGCTTCAGCTTCCAGCGTCCATCTTATCTGTTGGAATGTGCATCCCCCGATGCCTCCTGTGCTGGTTTTGCTGGTAGGGAGTTGGGGATTTGTGGTCCCTTTCCTGCGGGGATGCCCACAAATCAGCTGCTCCTGTTGAAAAGGGCGGCTCAGATCCGGGAGCACGGGAGGAGGAAGGGGCCCTGCCCAAGCGAGCCGGAGGGAGGTGCTGCTGGCTGCAGCCTCTCCTCCTCTGTAACGAATCGGCAGCCATCCTGACTTAGAAATACTTCTCACTAGAGCACTGCCAGCACAGTATCTCTTGCAAGCACTATATTCAGACTTTGTTTATGCCAGTGAAAAAACGGGGCAAGGGTGAGGGGGAAGAAGTCCCTTGCCTGCCTTGGCAGCACGAGCATCTGGGTGCCCCAGCTCCCCTGCCCCGTGAGCTGTCCCGTGCCAGTGCCCGGGCTCTGTGCCGGGAGCCCCATGCTGGGTTGTACTGGGCAGCCGGCCAGGCCCCCAGGCTGTGCTCTGAGGGCCGCCAGGGAATTTGGGCTCCCTCCATTCCCACGGGTTTCTCTTTCCCCCACAGAAGTATAAATAGATGTGCCCGTGACGTTCACGGGGCTGGGCAAGCGAGGCGGCTCGGCCTGTGCTGGCCAGCACGCGAACCAGGCTGTGCCTTGGGTCCGTGACACCGTGGGGTATGAAGCGGTGCTGGCCAGCAGCTCTCAGCAGCAGTTTGGGGTGCCTGGGTGTCCCTGGGTGCTTTGGGTGCTGCCCTCAAGTCCTGGGGGAAGGAACCAGGATGTCCCGGCCTTGCCCCGCTGCAGGCAGGAGCAGGGGGACGCTGAGTGAGGTGTCTCTTGGACAACAAGTGTGCTGCTTGTTGGAGGTGGCACATGTCCACAGCTGGGTGTCCCCTACAAGGCTGGGAAACGTGGGCAAGTTGGGAGGGCAGCTCTAAGAGCTGGCTGGAAGTACCTGTCGGCATCTGATAACTCGAAATAGTGATGTCTGGAATAATGTAGTGAGAAAGAGCTAGATCACTTGTGTGTGTAACTGCAGTGAGGGGGAATCCATAGCACCGTCAAGCCAGGCCGTGCTCAGTAAGTGTCACTGAGTGAGAGCTGCTCCTCTTGGGAGGGCAAGCGCCAGCGCGGCAGCTAGAGCTAAGCGTCCCCGTGGCCGGGGCTGCGCTGGCCGCACACGGCGGCTCTGCCCGCGCTGCCCCGCTGAGCTCAGGCCCCAGCGCTCCTGCAGCCCCTCATTTAGCACGTGTGTGTGGGGGTGCAGCCCCGGCGCTCTGGGGCCGTGTCTGCTGCCAGCCACTGACCTCGGCACCCCACAACTCACCCCTGCGGGGGCCGTGTTCAATCCTGCTCGTGCTGGGTGCTCAGCTCCCGCTGCCTCCACGCGCCATGGTCCTTGCTGTGTGTGAGTCCCTGTGGGTGATGGGGACGTGTCCTGCTGCCAGTGTCCAGCTGGATTCCCTCATGGAGAACCCGACCCTGGGGTGGGAGAAGCTGCAGGGTCCTCGTGCTGCCCGAGCCGGCTCTGTGGGGAGGAGCAGCACCCGTGCCCAGAGAGCCCGAGTGAGGCCCTGCTGCCCGTGCCCGGCCTGCGAGGGGTAAATCGGCGCTGCCGGCAGTGCCCTTCCCGCCAACAAGTCCCTGCTGGCACTAATGCTCTGCGGGAGCGTTCTGCTTCCCTTGCAGATCTCGGTCTGGAAGAAGGAGTGTGTGTATTGTGGGTTGTTTTTTTGTTGTTGTTTTTTTGGGTCTGCAACATTGACCTGCTGAACTAAAATGATGACGGGTTTAAGGTACTGACTGATGTCTCAGTGCAAGGTTGCTTTCGACCTTGGTATGCAGTATCAGTGCTTACTGTGTGTGTGTGTGTTGGGTGCTCTGGCTGCATCAGTTTAGTTCCCACCCATGGACACACAGGACATGGAAGGGGCTTCTCTTGTGGTATCATGCACAGGGGACGCACTCGGATTTTTGTCTGAACAGCCAAGCACTGCTGGTGGCAGAACCCCCTTTTCTGGATACTTGGAGCCGCACAGGAGGCTGCTGGCCTCTCAGCAGGCCGAGGCACCGGCAAGGGGCGGCTGAAGCCAGTTTTGTGCTGATGTGTGGATAGGGACAGGGTCACTTCCCTCCATGCTCTTGTGGAGGGGTGTTGGATGGGGCTCTCTCCTGGAGGAGAACCCCTGTGTGCGGGGCGATGGTGGGGGCGGCCTCCCCTGCCCCGTTGCTGCTGCGTGGGTGCAGTGAGGTGGCAACTCAGGGAGCAAAACTCCCCGCTGGCTCCTTGTGAGGCTGGAGCTCCTTGGGTGCTCGCACCCAGGCTCTGCCTGCCCTCTGCAGAGGCCCAAGGGTGGGCAGGGAGGGGAGGCTCCTTGAGGCTGCTGCAGAAAGAGACACCAGGTTTCGCTCCACATGTACAGCAAGAGAATATATTCAACTTAAAAAAAGAAAAGGAGGGAGAAATTCCACAGTATCAAAACACAGCAAGTCACAACCAAGCACTCGCGATATAAACAGGCCTACAAATAGCCCTCCGCAGCGGAGGCCGCGCGCTGCAGAGCAAGCGGCTCCGCTTCCACGTGGGGAGGAGGTGGCAGGCGGGCACGGAGACCCCTTCTCACCAGGATGGAGGATCCCACGGCACCAGCAGAGCGAAGCCTGGGACAACTGGGCTCCAGCGGTGGCTGGGATCCTCTCCCTGCTTTCAGGGTGCTCCTGTGGGTAGCATGTGCAAGGGGAGGGATGGAAATGCCAAGTTCCAGTTTGGAAAATAATTAGCTGGACTACCCAAAAGCACGTGGGGTGAGCGGGTGTGCTGGCTCGAGTGTGTGTGTGGTGCTGTGTGTGCACTCGTGGTACCTCCTCCTGGAACATCTAGGAGGTGACGTGCTCGACCACCACAGCGAGTGGGGCCAGACGGGCAAAGGGAGGGCAGGGGCTGTCTCCTGGAGCACCTTTTCCATGGTAAATACAGGCCTGGCAGCACGGATGGATTTGGAAACAGTTTAACATGTGCTACACACCCTGAAATGGTTCAACTGACCCAGAATGAAACTCTTTTGGATTTGCAACAAATTACCTAAATGCAATTGGTTTTGTTCTTATCTGGCTTTGTTTTCTGACAAATAGCACATCAGCATTTCAGCCGGGCTAGGTTCAAGTAGCAAGAAACTACTTCATTCAAGCCCTTTTTGAGAGACTTGGTCCTCACAAGGAGGAGAGAGCCCCTGAACATACTTTGTTGCTGGCTGATGGTGGTGAAGCAATTGCATTTATTTTCCACTGCCTACTATCACTTTGTAGCTGTAAAATTGCACCTAAAACATCTAAATATAGAGTGAAAAATGATAGTGCAATAGCCTGGTGCCATGCACGTGAGCCCAGGTCAGGAGCTGGATTTATGCGGGGCTGGATGGGGGGCACAGCCTCAGTCTCTTGCCGTTTGCTGCACCGAGATGGTGAATGAGGGAGGTGCCCAGTGAGAGAGGGGGCCATGGTGGGAGCGCTGGGGACCGCATTCCCCATCTCTCCCATGGGATGAGGCTCGTTGACGGTGCTGTGGAGGCCCGTAGCCCGGGGCAGGCGGCCTCCCTCTTCAGGAGGAGGCGTGAGAGCACTGGTGGATTCATTTGGCCCTAAAAAGCAAACACAAAAAGGTATTCCTCACTGGGGGAGACCCCAAACTGGCCCTTTTGCATGCGGTTCTGCTCTGTGGTTCTTCTCCTTGGTGCACATGTCTCAGACCTGATGCCGCTTTATTGCTCTGATTACTGCAGCAGGGTGGCTTTGAGGGATGTGCAGCTCTGCTTGCTCCCTGCTAGCCATCCTACATCCATCCAGCCATCCTACAAAGCTGCTCCTGTCCTAAAGCACTGAGCAGGAATCTGTCTGCTGCTAATTAAAACAGATTAAGCAAACCCCAGGGGCAGGCAGGAATACGGCCCTCTGTTCCATGTGTCCCTCGAAAGGGTTTCAGCACCTGCAGAGCAGCAGGTTGGCTGCTGCTTCCCCCTCGCCAGTTTGAGGGAAAGGTCAAAAATGAAGCACAAGGATGAATCCTTATAGAGCCAGTCATAAAGGTACATCACGCATCATGCCCCTCTCTGGCACCGTGTGTACCACTGCTCAAGCCAGACTTGCTAATGCAGGAAACGTGGCCAACACTGCTGTAATTTAAACAGCAGTCTCAAGCCTGCAGAGTTCAGCATTTCCCTAGGAGCTCTTCCTGGCTACCCTGATTTTCCTGTCTTGCTGGAGCACAGACAGGCAATGCCAAATGTCTGCTGAAAGGAGCCAGCAAAACCTTAGTGATGCTGACAAGGTGCTAAATCCCCTGCTTTTTTTGTTCCCAGGAGACTTTTCAAGGGCTTTGGGTCTCTGTCGTGTCAGGAGAGCTCCCCAGTGGGGCTGGGGCATCTGCTGCAGAGATCCAGTGTCTGACAGCAGGCACCTCAGGAGAAAGGGACTTTGGCAACTTAATGTCCTGTGACAGCACCAGCCTATCCACCCCTTTCAAAGCGGTGCCTTCCTGCCCTGCCTGGCACCTAAGTGTCTAAAAGCCCTAAAATCACCTTCACAGGCCCCCAAACAAGAAATTGTTCCTAAGCTGCTCTACTCACCAGGCAGCTGCCCCTGCTTGGTGGAAATGACCAGAAAGATGTGAGTTTGCTGGGCACCATCCTGGTGCGAATTCCTTGGGGTAAGGGCTGGGGCACGATGAGCTCGTGCCCTGGCTTTAATGCAGCTGTTGGATGGCTCATGGGTATCATTACTTCTAGTGTAATATACCACTGGTTAATTGGGAGGTGATTGAGGTGCTTCTCTGCTGCAAAGCCAGGTAGCCACGTCTCTGTCCTGCTCCACGTCTTGCCAAGATATTAAGTGCGGCTTCTCTCTGAAGCCCTCCCGGCACCAGGAGAGCAAGAAGCGCTGACGGGCACCTGCCTTCCAAAAAAACCCTCCCTTTCCTACTGCCTGGGTCTGGTGTGTATCTGTCTGGAAGTTGGTGTCTTTTTCATCAGTTTTCCTCTAGAAATAACAGTGCAAAACTCCCCTGTCTGTGCCACATTATGGACTTTGCTCCATGGACACCAGAGAATGGATGTTCAGAGAAGCTCCTTTGTTTCTGCCTGCACCTGGTTGAGCATGTTGGGTTGGACGTGCAATACTGAAAGGTCAGGTCATATCTGCATGTGCATAGGGGGAATCTGTGCAGACTATACCGGCCTAGCTGAAGACTGGCCTCAACAGATGTATGAACACATACAGTGAATTGTCTGGGTTACAAATGTGCATCCTATATGGTGTGTGCATCCTATAAGGTCCCTTTTGCCCTTACTTAGGCTGCTGAGATGAGCTGAAGTGCCTGAGCTAGCAGGCATGGCTGCCCACTCCTCCCCTCCCAGGCTGCACAGCCCTGGCCCTGCACCCACTCGCTGGGAGCGGGGAGAAAGCAGAGGTTCTTCAGGCACTCTGATGTCCCTGGGGGCTCAACTTGCCTGTTCCGACAGGGCCTGTCCCACCACAAGTTCCTGGGGGCAGAACTAGGGCTGTGAATTACCCTTAGCCCTGAGGAGGGGTTGGGGATGAGATGTCTGCTGTGACCTTGGTGTCTCTGTTCTGCTGTGTGGGCAGCTGGGCTGTTTTCATTCATCCGGACTTCGGAATTGACCAAACCCAGATGAAGTGACACGCTCCTGGGCATTGGGAGTGCACAGAGAAGCCAATGTATAGGCTGGGCAGGTTATGCAGGACCCGAGGGACGGGGCCTGCATTAAAAGTGCCCTCGGGAGGGCACGCGGGAGCAGAGCAGGGCCGACATGTGGAGTCTCAGCAACAAGCCCTGGGCACCACACCACCATCACGGACTCACCGGCACGCGGCCAGCACACACTGCCGGCGGGCTCCGCGTCTGAGGCACGGCAGCGCTGCCAGCAAGGCTCGTCCTTGCGGGGAGGTCTTGTCTTTGTTTTAGTCCCCCAACCCATATCTCTTTACACGGGAAGCACGGAGTGCGCAACGCATGAGGAGGCCGGGCTTTCGCTCCGAGGGATTCCAGGAGGCCTGGCCAGGTGGTGGCTCCGGCAGCTCCAAGCAGGAGCAGCCCGAGTGGCGGGAGCAGTAAAATGCGGGTTACAGCAAGCAAATTTCTCAAGACATCTGCAACGACAGAGCTTCGCTGGGCATCATAAATACGCGCACGGCGGAGGGGGCTGCAACGGGCCCCTCTGCTGCCGCGATGCAGTCAGGAAGGGGCTCTCCGGGGGAAGGAAAGTGCCGCTCGTTGGCTTTTACATACTGTACACGTGTCTATTAATAGCTCCTTGGCATTTGATGTTCGCAGCTGGTTTCCTTTAAGGGCAGGCTCCAAAGGAGGCCCAAGGTCTTGGGCTGTGTCTGGGGCGGGGAGCAGGGAGGCAGCCTGTGGGCGGAGGCGCCTCCGTGGCCGCCCGGCGCCGGCGCCAGCCCGCGGCGCGCGCCCCTCGTCGTCGCCACCGCCGTGTGGCGTCAGCGCAAGTCTCCGTCGGCCGCTCTGCACCTCCGCTCCGCTGCGCGGGCGCGTGGACCGGAGGGGTGTCAGAACAGAACAAAACAAAACAAAACAAAACAAAAAAAAAAAAGAAAAGAAAAAAAAAAAAAGGGTAATGAAACGGTCCGTGGCCCCCAGGTGCCCCAGGAAATGTCTCGCCGCGTGTCTCGGAGCATGCTCGTCCCGGCCGCTACAGCTGCTGCGGGATCCCCTGCTCCTTGTAGCCTGTGAGGAGGAGGGCAAGGGAAGAAGGTTAGTGCCGGCGCCGGCCCCCGGGACGGCCCTGGACCGGGGTGGCCCCCAGGATGCTGCTGTTCCTGCCACCGCAGGCAGCCGTGTCCCCTGGCCCCCAGCTGTGAGGGACTGGGTGTCCTGCCTCTTCTCGCCCCCCATAAACACCCATCAACCTGTCCTTACCTGCGCTGCCTCTAAGAGTGGAGCTCTTTAAGCTAGAGAAGTTCAAAATTCCAGGCTTTTATTTTCCTCCTCTATTTGAATTACGTGTGAGGACTGTCAGCTTTATGTTTTGAATTTCAAATAATACTGCAGGTCTGCACCTCAGAAGAATACTTAAATGTCGCCCCCAGTATGAATAGATTTCTTCTCATTCAGCTCTTGTGCAAGACTCCTGTGAGTCTCTTAGGAAAGATAAGTCCGAAACACCAGCAAGTGCCACAACCTCTATCTTAGAGGGACTCTCTGCTGCACTGAGAAGTGATCCTGGCAAATGACCTTCCCTATGTTGCACAAATCCATGCAACATCCCACCTGGATCTGCTGTCAGTCTGCAGAGGAGCAGTAGACAGGACTGGCCACGCTCACCGGTTGTGCTGCACTGCCCTGCTCTGCTTACCGAGCTGAGCAGAGAGACTCTCATCTCCTGCAAATAGCATTTTCTAGGTGAAAATACGATGATTTCTTACACATTTATGTTCCAGCTATGAGTCAATTCTGAAGGCAAGATGAACTAGTGGGAAAAGCCTAATGGTTATGGGCTTATGGGTTCATCAGTTTAGCTTGCTTGGGGAAAGAGAATGGGCAAAAATCAATGTGGATGAGAGAGCTGGGGCCTGCTGTGAGTTCTCAGCTCAAATCAACTGGCGAAGTTGCGCTTGCCACAGCTGGCTCTTGAGACCATACCTTAATTAAAATATAATAGAGATTCCTTCACAGACCTGCACATTGGTGTTGAAACTGGCTGGAAGCTAATTGCAGTAGCTGAGCTGCTTTCTCTCCATGTGACCCAGGTAAGCCAAAAGATGACCTGCTCTACACTGAACTTAGAGAAATACTTTAGACATTTATTTTATGAGGTAGGTTAGATATGAAAATAGTTATTGGATTTCTCATATAGGAAGAACTACTGTGAAATGAAGCACATTTGTGTCAGTAAGCCTGCACAGCAGTAGAGTGAAGCAAGGTTTTGCAGAGCAAGGTTTTGCCCATAGCACAACCTGGGGGGAGCCTTCGTTGGGATGGCCGTGGTACAAGTGCAGACACACACAGACACACGTACACAGGTGGACTTGGACGGAGAGGGGTGACAAAGGCTGAACAAACCCCAGCTCTGGAGCCGGCTGCCGGCTTTGTGTGGGACCTGGCCACGTAGCCGGCCGGCATCCAGCTGCTGGAGATGTTAGGAGGAGGATTAGGAGAAACAGAAACAAACTTACCTTGTGAGACTTTGACGGTGAACAAAGGGAGGCAAAGGAACATGGAAGAAAGAGAGAGGGAGAAATGTAACTGTAGACGATATATCCGAAACACATAAAGAACTAGAAAAGAATGAATAAATCAAGGCTGCAGAGTAAACGGAGAACATCTGCTCTACGATTCAACATTCACGCCAGAGCTAAACATTGACAACGCTTTATTTATTTTAAATGCTTACATTTGAAGTGGATGGTTTCATTCAGGGCTCTTGTTTGGAGAGGACGGGGGAATCCTCATCTGCTTTTCAGGAGCTGAGCCAAAGAGCCTGCGTGAGCACCTTGGATCAGACGCTCTGACAAGCACTTTCCCTGCGGACTGGCTCTTTCATGGGTCTTGTTTAAGGGGAAGTGCCAAAGGAGGGCAGCAAACAGGACATTACAGCGAGTGAGGTGGTGGGTGGCACCTCAGGACACACTGAGCGCTGGGAGAACTCAGCGCCTGACCACTGCTTGCCAGTCCTGCCGCCAGGTCTGCTGGCACCTCTGGGGTAGTGCACAACTACTCCGTGCCTCAGGCCGGCTGCAATCCCGGAAACTGCAGAATGTTTTAACACCCTTATCCCACTGCAGAAAAATTATTTCATTTACTTTCCTTTGGTGTAATTAGAGAACAGCTCTATTGGTTCTAAAAAAAGAGCAGGTCTCTCCTGCATTTCCCAGGCCGCCCTGCGGAGCCACCCCGGCTGCCGGAGGGGGCTGGCGCCTTCACTGTCGCGAAGCCGGGAGCTTCCTGGGCCAGGGCTGCCTTCCAGCACTGCTCTTGATTTCCTGGCTACGCTCACCAGAGGCAAAACGGCTCCTGAGCAAAGAGTCCCTGCATTCCGTCCTCTGCGCCACCTCCGTGTGACATTATTATATTGATTACTGGGCTGTTTCTGTCAAGAGGGAGCATAAAGCCTTTTACGACAAGGCTCTGGCCGGCTGCGGCGTTTCTGAAAGGCCGCTTTCTCGGCGCTCCGTCTGCGCGGGGCTCGTTTTAGCTCGCAGAGCCGCGTGCTGAGCGCGCTGGGGACAGGACATGCCTTTCCCGAGGGCAGCTTGCCCGGGAAGCCGCCTTTTCCAGTTTGCCTTGGCCGGCTACCAGCGCGACGCGCTCGCTCCGCTGCGCCGCGGCCTGGGCCTGGGGCCTGCGCTGGGACCCCGGGTGCCGCGGGGCGCCGCGCGCCACCATCAGCCTTTGCCTTTAGACCGCAGGTAAAACCATGCCTGCTTCAAAAGCCATATGGCTGCTTAAAGACACTCTCTGCTCGGTGTCTAACGGGGCCAGCTGGCAATTCATTTACATTAGCTGAGACGCCGTGAAAACGTCCTGTGCAATTGAACTGCCAAAGGCAATTTAGCGTGACGGGGAAGCGGCGTTCAGCTAGGCTGCCTTCTGAGAGAGCCCCTGCTGAAGGACACCGGACGGTAAAGCAGGGCTGGCCCCCAGCTCGGTCTCTCCTTCCCCTCGTCCCTCGCTGGTGGATGGGGGTCCGCCTGCTTGCGAGCTCCCCGGGGACAGAGGCCGCCTCCGGCCGGGCGAGCTCTCCAGCGCTTTGACCTTATGGGCACAAAACAGGTCATGATTTCCACAGAGACCGGCCTCGCTGCTGTTTAGGTCTGTCTTGCTGAGGCTGAACTGCTGCCCTCTGCCCCATACACCGGCTCGCTGATCCTCACCGTCGCCTGCTGTCTCACGACTGCTGGGCTCGCTCCAAGTTGCCCACATGAAATAATGTCCCGAGACTGGACACAGGCACCAAGCTGCAGCCCTACAAGTGCTGAGGGGGGCTGAAATGAGACGTTTATATTTCACAGGCTCTGCTCCTGCTTATAACATCCCTGCATGGTGTTTCTCTCTCCACAACAACATGCTCTCATACACTCATGTTCAGTTTGTGATTCACTGTAGTCCTCAGATCCTTCTCTGATAAACAAGTTGTTCCCTAGCCTGTATTTATGCAGCTGATTAATCCTTCCTTAGTATCTTGGGCCTGTCCTGATGCCACAGCATTTTGTTTCAGACTCTTTCTGTGACTCGCCAGGATGCTGTCTCGGCCCCAGTGCTGTCTCACTGTACCTGTGTCCTTCCAGCTGCCTGCACGTTGGCTAAGTTTGTTCTCTCGTCCATCATCCAAACATCTCTCGACATCCTCTACATTTGAGAATGAATTATGGAAAATGCATGCAGAAGACAGTTCCCAAATGAGTTTTCACCCAGGCGCTGTCTCCCTCGCCAGCCTACAGGAATGCTCTGCAAGACAGTGTCAGAGGCTCAAAGTTGAGATGTGCCTCTAATGACTTGCCTCTATTTATAAAATTAATTTCTCTGTTCTAGAGGGGAAATAGACCAGTTGGACAGGGCTTGTCTTTGACAAATGCAGGTTGACTGTTATTTTCTTTCTTTGTATTCCCTAAATGCACGCAAGTCATTTGTTTGATTGCTTGTTCCGGGAATGGAAGTATAGCTGATGGGCTCACCACTCTTCCTATTTTTGCCCTCATTAGAGAGGCAGCGTGACGTTGCCCTCCCAGTGCTCCTAGGGAAACATGCTCCCACGGAGCTCCCCTTTTAACAGCTGGGCACTGGGGAGCACGAGGAAGTGAGAAATCACTCCGGGCCTCCCCAGCAGCTCCCCAGCTCTCTACGGACTCATACACAGGTGTGTGTTCCAGCACACAGCTCTGCCCTGCGCCGGGGACGTGGGCCCGGCTCCCAGTGCCAAGGAGGAGCAGCCGGCGCTGGCTGCGGGTGCCTTCCTGGCCATCCTCGTACTGGTGGCCAGGGCTCTCGCTCGTCCTGCGCCCCTGTTGTCCGTCACCACCGCGACGGCACGGCATGAACAGGCCGTGGTTTGGTCATTCCTGTCCCTTGCTTGCCTACCCAAACGCAGCTCCCCGTTTGGCGGAGGCGCGTGAGGGTTTCTGCCCCTCGCACAGACTCGGTTTAGTTTGTGCGCAAGCAAGCGCAAGCGCAAAGAAAACATCTCGGACTGAAAGGTCTCATTTCTGGTGCTTGAAAAGTTGTTGCATTTTTAAATGACTCAGTTATTCTTCCTAGACGTGAAAACAAAACATGAAAACAAAACGTTTCGTGTCAGGCCTGGCAGAGTGTTTGATCCAGCTGGGAGCGATTGATCACTTGTGGGGTGTCTTTTGTTTGAAAAATGAGTTTTTCATTTGCTCTCTATCAACCAAAAGCTGCCTTTTCCAACCATTCTTTTTCCTGCACTGTGAGTAAACTTATAAATTAGCTGTTTGCATGGCTGCAGAGGCAGCAGCAGGCTCCCCAAGGCTGCCCCTTGCCATGCTCCATGGAGCTGGTTAACACAGTGCATGTTGGCTGCTCGGCTCCTCTCCAGGCTTAGCAGAGGGGCTGGGTGACACTGCAGGGACCTCAGTGTCTCAGTGCCACCCACCCAAACCGAGCCCAACGGCAGGTGCAGAATTGCCCAGAGCAGGAATCACTGAGAGCCTGGTGGGAACGGGCCCTTTGGGTGCAGGAACGGTGTGCACGCGTGCAGGGACGAGCACATGGTTACAGCATCACGGACAAACTGCACGACAGACAGACAGACACACGCGCTGTGCTGGGCTTTGCCCTCCGCTCTGCCCCACATCGAGCACACGTCTGGGGAGAGGCTTCAGCCAGCGGGTTTTGCAGCCAAACATGCGCACTGCTTTCCTGCTGCTTTCTCCAGTTTCACCCATTAATTCTCCAGGCGAGTGTCTGCAATTTCCTGAGCGCCTCTCTGCCGCCTTGGCTCGCAGCCACCAATGTCCCCAGCAGCGATGGGGAGGCAGCGAAGCCAAGTTGAAGCCCTTCAGAGAAAAAGGCAGGAGCTCCTGGCTCGTTACTCAAGAGAAACCCTCTCTTTGGGACACGCTTGCCCTGTTGGTCTGGAGGGTCTTGGAGCTCCTCACACTGGGGCAAATCCCACCTGGAAGCCGGGGTGGCCTCAGGGGTGCGCTCAGCACCTCGACGGCCCCTCCTGGCCTGGCAGGTGAGAGGAGCCCGTCGCCCTTATCCTCTGCTGCACCATGATGGGGAAGGAGGCTGCTGGAGCCAGAGAAATGCCGGCAATTTGGAAGTGCACTGAAATCAAGGCTCAGATGGCAAAAAATTGTTTGTCATTGATACTAATGGAACCAAGACATGAACATCACTTTGCTGCATCTCAGAGCACACTAGAGATACAATAATCTCGTCGTTAGCTGAAACATGAGGAAACTTACAGAAGCAGAACTAAGTTTTAGCTGCTTGAAAAGGTGCTTTTTCAGATTAACTGACTGCAGGAGCACAATTCCAACTTTTCTCAAAGCTTCATTTTGCAGTAGTAAAAGTCTTTAGCAGATGGAGTTAATGGGGCTTGGATTTTAGATCAGCAATGCCAAGATCACACCGAGTGAACTAGGTGGGTGGCCTAAATGGTGGATGTTTAAAGAGGGGTTCCTCTCTTCTTCTCCCAAACTATGGTTTCAGTCCCCTCCAAAGCGGCAGGGGATCTCCTTCTAAGGAGCACATCCAGACAAGCTGAACTGTCCTGCTTAGTCTAATGAAAGTCAAGTGCTGAATCGAAAGGAATGAAGTTGTAGCCAGGAACGCTCTGTGGATGACTGGATCCTGGGCAGGATGGAGGAGGCAGGAGAGCCCAGGGCTTCCTGCTGGGATGCACCTGGGCAGAGCAGTCACCTCGCAGGAAGGCCTGGCCGGAGCTCACGGTGAGACGGGCGCTGCTCACACCAGGGCAGAACGGGGCTGCAGAGGGCAGCGATCACCGCCCGGGCTGCCACTGCGGCGGGGGAAGCTTCACCCCTTCCTGCTCTTCCCATTTACTAAAGGAGAAACGGAGCTCCCAACCCGAGCAGCGGGATGGGAGATTCCCCCCGACGTGTGGCAGGCAGCCGGGTACCTGCAGCCCTAGCCGCCTTGCAGCGACCGCGCGGCCTTCGACTGCCCTGTGCCTGGCAGGGCCTTGTGGGGCTGCCCCACGGCTCGGGGGCTCCAGCGCAGCGCGGCGCTCACGGGGGCTCTCTCTGCGAGCCGGCAGCGCGGGCACGGCGAAGCCGGGCAGGGAGGGCCAGCGCACTGTACTTACTTGCGAGAATGACCATGTCCATCCCCCAGAATATACTCATAATCCAGCCAACCATCACGATTGCTGTGAGGATCTGAATGAGGGCCGCGGCGATGTTCAGCCAGAAGACACAGCACATGTGCCTGTCGGGGAGGTCGGTCCGGGCGCCGCACAGCACGGTGAAGGCTGATACAAACGTCCCTATGGAGAGAGCAGCAAGAAAACACCCAGTGAAAGTGGTGGCTTTGTGCCAGGTGCCTTCTTTTAGATCCGCTTTTCCTAGCAACTTGTCCAGCTCCCACTGCAAAGCCGGGCAACTCTCCACAGGAGGCAGGCACAGAGAGCAGGACGCGCCGAGGCCTCTGTGCGCAGACACCCGAGGTGGAATCGGAGCCTGCAGACCCCAAGGGCCGCCCGGCTCCCCGTGCTGCACGGCACACGCGGCACGAGGGGTCCCATGAGCACGAGGACCCCCCACACCAGCAACTGTTCATTCACTGCAGACGGCCGCCGCGGGCCTTTCTGCCGCCTCCTGAGGCCCTCTCCAAGATGAGGAGCATATTTACTCCACAATGGAGTACAGAATTAAAGGAAAAAATCCTAGAGAGAATTAATGAGAACATTAGCAACCCTGCAAAGCTGCACATCCCTGATACATCTCCATGAAATAAACAGTCTGTTACTATTCACAGATATCGCTCTAGAAAGAGCACAGGCACAAAGCAGGGTGCTAATGAGGTGCTGCGGCTTCACAGCTTGCCGTGGGCAAAGGAATGAGCCTTGGTTCTGATAGACACAAAAGCGTTGTTGAACACGGGGACCAAAGCGAGTCCCTCCATCGGGCTGAAGGTGGGGAGGGGACAATCAAGTCGCATAGGGAAGGGTGAGGGAGAGTGGGAAATACCACCTTGCTGGTGGCTGCAGGGCACAGGCCACCCATCACGCTCCCCATGGCTGCCTCCCCATCAGCGCTCCCAGCCAGCAAGCAGTAACTCCAGGCACGGCCGGCTACAGCCTATTTTTAATCTCCCCATCTTCTCGCCGCCTTCAAACCCAGCACCTTCCTAACGCTCCCCCAGCTCCCGGAGCACCGGGTCTCCTCCCGCCACTGCCGGGGCCGATTCCAGCCTCCCACGAGGTGCGGGTGGGCGAGCGCTGCCGGAGCGGCCCAGCAGGGGCACAGCCAGGGAGCCCATCGTTCCCTGGGAATCAATGTCCGTGCTCATCATGAAAATGAAAATTGTTCCATCTCACCCTACCTTTATTCCTCACAGTACAGAAAGGTCGTAAGGAGCAAAAACTCTTAAGACACAACTTCACATCCTTCCAGTGAAGCTTCTGAGGGTTTTACATCATTAGAGTGAGGTGCAGAATTAGCTAATTAATCTTAGCTCATTAATCCTCTAAAAATCACAGTGACTCAACTAGCCCCATTCAAAGGGTAATACAGCAAGTAAAAAAGTTAAGTGTTCACATCCAGCTGGAGAACTGATACTGAGACTAGGATTATAGTTTGCATTCTCGGCTTCCAGTTACATGTTCAGGCCACTTTCCTGCTTATGGAAGTCCATATAATTAGTTAATGTTGAGTTAATGACTGAGCACTGCAGTCACCACATGATGGGATGCCTCAAGGTATGGGTGAGAAGCATCTATCTCCTGCTTTTACAAGACAGCCTCTCCCGGACACAGCTGCAGGAATGAGGTCAACTGTGGAACCTGGCCAGTGTAACACAGAGGACCTGGCTCATGAGTAAACTCTGGCTGCACCTTCCCACAAAGGGCATGCGGGAAGCGCCCAGTCACTCCCAGTGAGGTGCAAAATGCAGGATGTGGAGCCAGTGGCCAACCTAGTGCTTCCCATGGACTACCAGACTGCCAGAGCTTCGCAACAGAAAGCTTCTCTGCTCCAAGGAAATTGTGCCTGATGAGCTGCCCTGTTGCAGGTGGAGGAAAGGCAGAAAGCAAAATGACCATAATGAGGGCAGCTCAAATTACCTTAATGAGGACAGGTGGTAGTGGTGGTTACCTCTACACAGACATGAAGAGGAAGCCAAGAAGCCTCAGAGACATTTGCAGAGGGCTTCCTTTAGCTCCTGGGAGTAAATAAAAAAGCAGGATGGTGGCTCTTTGCTTCCAGAGGTAAGAGTGGAATGATGTTGTGACCTAGGATCTGGGCAGAGCTGCAGGTAAGTGCAGGCAAAGATGGGAGGAAGAGGGTAGGGGAGCTTGGGGTGTTTTGGGGAGTGCTGAAGGATGTAGGGTGGGTGCTGGGAGAAGCAATTAGTGCAATATTGTGGGAATGAGGAATAACTTTGTGGCTTTTTCTTGTGTCAGTGATGTACTGTGTGTGGGGATATCTCGTGTGCTTTTTGAGTTTTGAAGGTAACACATGTATTAGCTGTTATTGAACAGGGTTGGGGGGTACATAAGGTGTGTTATGTGGCTATGTGAAAATTCATGCAGTGTGCTTGTGTGAGCTACCAAAACCCTGGAGAAAGGGTATTAAGGACTGCACTTGTTTCCTTGGTATTGCAGTGCCTAGGTTATCCACTGGTTCATTTATCTGCGGGTCTTGTGTGACCTGAATTCCTTGTTAAACTCCAATTTGAGCTATAAAGACCTATGTTTGTAGTTGTGGCAGCCTCTTCTAGTCCTTGGTATCAATTAAAATGCTAAACTATAGCCCTCTGGGTTATGATGAGGGGGAAAAAGAGCTACCAAAATGAGCTCAGAAATGGTCTACAGCAGCGTCTCTTAATGCATACGCCATCCCCGCGGCTCAGGCAGGGTGGTGCTGCTTCGCTGCAGAGAAGATGCTGTTACCAACACAATAAAATGAAATTGCTCAGCGTTAGGGCTGGGCGCCTCTCGGCAGGAGTATCTGCTGCTCTGCTTGAGCAGGCAGGCACAAAGCAAAGCCTGGGGCAGCCGTGAGGCCGGGCGAGTGCCTGCCTCCAATCTCCACCCTGCAGGAGCTCGTTAGGAATTAGGCTGCATCCAAGACAAGCTGCCCGCGCAGGTGTAGTACCTGAGCCTGCTTAGATAAGCACGCTTCTTACTGCCGCAATCCTAGAGGAAAAATGTAGCTCGGGAACACATTTGATGTGCTGTTTGTGTGCAAACTATGGTGCCTTTTGCAGCTTGCAAGTGCAGAGGCTCATGCCAACCATCTCTACCATGTCCCAGGCACCCCCAGCTCTTTTTTTCTTTTCTTTTTCCTATGGACCCCCCTAAGAACTCTAATTGCTCTTGACGTGTCCTCATGTGTTCATAAAATGTGTGCACTTCCATGTGCACGTAAAACAGCACTGCCTTTGCATGGAAAACTAGTTTCTTAATATTTTGGGAAATATTCTGAGGGGGGGGGGGAAATGGAACCTTTCATCACAAGCTTCCAAATACTGACCGCAGAAAACCTTCGCAAATCTCAGGACGAAAATATACAACAGGAACCTTAAATGATTAGAGGAGGACTGCATGAAGAGCAAGCGATTTACTACAGCTTTAGTCATACACCAAGCCATCAGCATCATTTCTCTGCTGCAGTCTGGTAGTGTTTTCAACCCTTGAAAGCCACCGTCCCTAACCAGTTAGATCATGGTACAATTGGTCCCACTGCCAGATGTTTTGTAATCATTTTGTGAGGTTTCTCCAATCTGCTCCTGCATGACAACCTATGGCTTAATTCTGTTGACTTGATGCTTAAAATTAAGCATGTCCTTGAAGTACTTCAGGTTTGGAGTGCTCTTGCTGAGCTGCGAGGTGCAGCCCTGGCTGTGTGATAGTGTTCAGGGTGGCAGAGCAGAATTGTCGGCTTCTTCCAGAACTCTGCTAGTGAGTTTTCCTGCTGCTGTTCCTGCCTAATACCCAAACCAATTCCCTTGCCCCTGCCCCTCTCCTTAAAGAGCTACAACGGGTATTTTGTGCCATGCTTTCCAACAGTTTGAACAGCTGGGAAGAATGTATAATTTCCTGAAAGGAAAGAAAAAGCTTTATTATGCGGGAGCTTAGAAGGTGGAAATGGAAAAGGTTTAGCAGCTTTTCCCCTTTTGCTCCCCCTGCCAGGGATGCAGGAGCATCAGCCCGTGTGCCTGCCAAGTTCCCCTGGTCTGAGGGGGCTTTCCCTCTCACCCAGCGGGAGGCCAGCATCCAAGTGACAGAAACCAAGGACAGGGAACAATTTTTTTCTTCTAAATCATCTCACTTTCAGACTACAATCTTAATTCACAAGCACCTCCAGAAATTAGTTTTTGCCTCCTGTTTTCTTCTTGTATATGTAGAAATAACTTCATTTTATGCTGCTGAAATAATTTGGATGTGGCTTTTCAGATTTGTATCTAGACAGGGCTTCTCTTTACTTCAGAGCAGCCATGAAAGTTGGAGATGAAGAAACTTTTGGGTGTTCTGGCACTTCCAGCTCCTACAGGGCTCTGGAAATAGGAGCTATGTAACTCTGGAAAATAAGAAAAATGCAATGAGTTCTCCAAAGCTTTCAAAAGGCTCCAGCCATTTACACAGTGATGGATCATCTGTGGTAGGGAAAGCTTTCCAGTTGCACAAAGCAGAAGGCAGAGCAGTGTGGCAGGCCAACCTCAACTTCTTTCCTGGTTTCCTCAACCCCAGTATGAGGGTTCAAAATATTACTGCTCAAAATTAGTAGTTTACTGTGTGAAGCCAGAGCAAAAGCTCCTCCCCTGTGACCTTGTCACAGGTTAGACAAGGACTGGTGGTGCTCATGAAAGGCTGCTCTGGTTCAGCAGAAGGAAAGCAGCAGGCTAAGGGTAAAGGGCCATCTCTGCTGCTCCCTCCCAGTTAGCCACACAGGCACAGCTTAAGATGAGGTCTATGGTGATGTTGTCTCCTCTTTTGTCTTTTAGATTGCTGTCTTGCAATTTAGCCTCTTGAAGCTACCCAGCCACGTTGGCTCTGTTGCAGAGGAATGGATTAACTACTTCCAAGATGCAGTGAGCAGTGCCTCTGAGCTTGCTCTGATACCCTGGGGTCCTTAACTGTGAAGACAAATTATGTTAATTAGGGACTACCTAAGCATAAGACAAAATTAATCTCATTAGGAAGTTAGATGGGGCAATTAGACTTTTCTTACAGACTAAGATAGCTGAAATGGAGTGCACTGGTCTTCAAAATCACTGCAAAATAGAAATCACATTTTAAATAATAGTGTAAAATGAAACTGTGAC